AAAAGAGATCCTCTTGCCTCAGCCTCCCAAGTAGCTGGGACCACAGGTGCCCGCCACAACGCCCGACTATTTTTGTTGTTGTTGTTACAGTTGCCATTGTTGTTTAGCTGGCCCAGGCTGGGCTGGAACCTGCCACCTTGGTGTATGCGGCTGGCGCCCTACTCACGGAGCTACGGGCGCCGAGCCTTTTGCAGTTACTGTTGTTTAGCTGACCCGGCCCGGGTTCGAACTCGCTAGGCTTGGTGTATGTGGCCGGTGCCGGAACCACTGTGGCACAATTTTGCCACCTGGAGCTAAAGCAATTCACCTGGCTTTCCCAAGCGCCCAAGGAGCTGAACGCAAGCGCGAGCCTGTGAGGGCGGAGCCCAGGGAAGCGGGCGGAGACGCGCGCCTATTTCCAGGCTTTCAAAAGTTACCTGCAGTGGGGGCGGGAGTTGAGAGAGTTACCGGCTGCGCGCGCGCCGGCCACGCCCTCAGCCTCTTCAGGCACCTGTTGGCTTGAGGACCCACTGGGCCGCAGCTGCTGTCCAATAGGCAGCCTCCCTGCGCCAACTCAGCTCCGCCCATCGCCAGGATTCACCAATCCCCGGCTGGGCACTGCCCCGCTCCCGCAGAGGGCCCGCCTCTCTGAGTGTTTCTTCCGGGTGGGGCCCCGGGCCGAGGCGATGGCGCCCTGGGCGCTCCTCAGCTCTGGTGTCCTGGTGCGGACTGGGCACACCGTGCTGACCTGGGGAATCACGCTGGTGCTCTTCCTGCATGATACCGGTGAGACGGACCCCACGCGATCCTGGACCCACCCGATCCCGCGTGGCTCTCCGGACATTTGGGTCTCACGGGGTCCCCGCCTAATCCCCGGAGATTCTGGGATTGACCCAGTCCCTGCCTGCTCCTGAAGCCCCCTCTCCATCTCTCATTCCAAGCGCCACCTGCTTCCCGTCTGATATTCAGTTGATCCCTAATTAATCCCAGCATCTTCCGGATCACTGCCAGATGCCCTGTCCATCCCAGGACCCATCTGGTGTCCACCAGGCCCAAGCTCCATCTTCCCTGGTCCTTTCCAGGAGTTGACTCCCAAACTTCTTGTCCATGAGGATTCAAGAACTAGCAGCCTGCCTACACCCCTCCCTACCCCCATAACCACTAGCTGCCCAAATCCATAGGGGGCCTGTCTCCCATCTTCCTGTGGTAGTGCTCATTCACCCACCCACCTCCATTCCCATCATTCCCCTCAGTAGCCCCATACCCAGTGCTTTACCTGCCCACCTGGATGTTCCAGGCTCAGGACTGGAGCCCTTCTCACTTTCCCCTCAAGACCTCATATCTCTCTCAGGTCCCCCCATTAGAGGACACCCTCTCAAAAAGCCCATTCCTTCTCTGCTCCCTTTTACAACCAATGGGCACCAGAGTTGTCCATACTCTGCCAATGCTCCCTCATTTCCCACCACCCCCCACCTTCCCAGAATCCTCAGTCACCCCCTTGGGCTTAAACCCAGACTGGATGCTTCCTAGCCTGGGCCCCCCTCATGTCTCTCTGCATCATCTGAGCTTACCAACTCCACCCTCCTGTCTCTATCTTGGGCATTTCAGACCTGGCCAGTCTCCCTGCTGGAGAGCCAGAGATCCAGGACCCCTCCTCCCTCTTGCCCATATCCAGTCAGGTCTGTCCTCCTCCTTTTCCTCTCCCTGCTAGGCCTTGTTCAGTTACCCTCTTCTTCCTCTTTGCCAGACTCTGCCACCAGACTTCCCCTCTGATCCATCTTTTCTACAGCAGAGGGAGGGCTTTCAGAAAACAGATCTTGCCCTATAACCTTCCATGGTTCCCTATCACCCTCCAAAGTGCAGATGAACTGCTGGCCACCCATGGAACCCCATCACTAGGCCTTTGCTTTGCCAGAAACACATTTCCACACCAGCTGCATCCCAGCCCCACCTCCTGTTCTGCCCCGGGCCCAGCCTCACTATCTTCCTCTGGCCTCCCCAGAGCTGCGACAATGGGAAGAGCAGGGGGAGCTGCTCCTGCCTCTCACCTTCCTACTCCTGGTGCTGGGCTCCTTGCTGCTCTACCTGGCTGTGTCACTCATGGACCCAGGATATGTGAATGTTCAGCCCCAGCCCCAGGTAACCAGGGCCCTTATGGGACTGTACCCTCCTGCCAGCATGGACTCAAGGCCCTCGTAACAGTCTCCATGGCAGGACTTGTGTTACACATTCTTGGGGGATATCTCAGTGAATCCTCTTGCCAGCCCTATGATGAGGAAACCACCAAGGCCCAGAGAAGGGAAGCTACTTGCAAACGTTATACAGCTCAGTCCAGGGCATTCTTTCCAGCCCTACCCGTAAGCCTTCATTCTGGATGGGATGGGCCCCATGCAAACACTCCACATCTAGGGGTAAGTTGGCCTCAAGGAAGAGGCCCACCAGTGTCATTTGCCTCCCAGGGACCCCATCTTATACCCTGTCCCTCATTTTCAGGAGGACCCTAAGGAGGAACAGATGGCCATGGTTCCTCAGGCCATCCCTCTACGGCGCTGCAGATACTGCCTGGTGTTGGTGGGTGATACAGGGACCCCTGTGGGAGGGGTTAGGGCAAAGTGGAGACTCCCTGACCTCTTGCCCCAGTGCCCTGCCCTCACACCTCCTCTAAGGCCTCCCAGATTCAGGCCCTGACCCCTGGCCTGCTCCTCCCCTCAGTAGTGGGCCCAAAGGGGGCCAGTGTTGAACTCCAACTCCCGTCTGTGCCAACAGCAGCCCCTGCGAGCCCGGCACTGCCGTGAGTGCCGCCGCTGCGTCCGCCGCTATGACCACCACTGCCCCTGGATGGAGAACTGTGTGGGGGAGCGCAACCACCCGTTCTTTGTGGTCTACCTGGCACTGCAGCTGGTGGTGCTTCTGTGGGGCCTCTACCTGGCATGGTAGGTGCCACTTAGGGGAAGGCAGGTAGTGTGCACCCATGTGTGTGCACAGAGCCAGGGCTCCCTGGGGCCTGGCACAGGGAGGGAAGGGCTCCCCTGGCCTCCCCCAGCTCCAGGTCCCTGTCCATCCTACAGGTCAGGCCTCCGGTTTTTCCAGCCCTGGGGGCTGTGGTTGCGGTCCAGTGGGCTCCTATTCATCACCTTCTTGCTGCTGTCTTTCTTTGCACTGATTGCTGGCCTGCTCCTGGCCTCACACCTCTACCTGGTAGCCAGCAACACCACAACCTGGGAGTTCATCTCCTCACACCGCATAGCCTACCTCCGCCAGCGCTCCAGCAACCCCTTTGACCGTGGCCTGATCCGCAACCTCGCCCGCTTCTTCTGTGGATGGCCCTCGGGGTCCTGGGAGACCCTCTGGGCTGAGGATGAAGAGGAGAGCAGCAGCCAGGTTGTTTAGGCTTGCTGGGTACAGGGCGGCTATCTTGTGCCTGCAAACCAGAGGGGCTGCACCTGCCAGGTCAGCCCTCGGGGACCTGGGGCAGCTCACTCCTGCCCTTCTCCTGGGCCTCAGAGCAGGTCTTCAAGACAGAATCCCTGCTTCAGGGGGCAGCTCTACCTTCAAAAGGAAGAAGGGAAGAGGACCTGTGGGGAACACAGGCCCAAACAGACCCTGTGCTCCTTGATGCCCCAGGCCAGGATGCCTCCAAGCACAATTTTCAAGTTTAATCATACATAAAACAAGTATTAAAAAGAAAACCAAACCACTCCTCACTGTGGCATCCTTGCTGGTCTGGGTCTAGCTGGGAGGCAGGAGAAGGGTAGGCAGAAGGAAACAGTGACACGCTTCTCCAAATGACACTGAGCAAAGCCTCTGACAGCAACCCCATGGCTGCCACCACAAGACACAAGGGCTCATAAATACCAGGCAAGGCCTGGGCCTCCATGCAGGGCACACAAGCGGGTGAGCACAAGGTTTAACCATCTGGGCAGGGGACAGAGAATGCCAGGAGCATCTCTCAGGGCTCCAGGAATTGTTCTGACACAAAGTCAAAGTCCTGGAAGGCAGCCTGCTGGCGGGCACTAAGGGGGCTGCAGGGTCCAGGTGGGGTCAGGGCAGGTGGGAGCCCAGTGAACTCGCCCTCGAAGTATCGCAGGTCTGCGGGGCCACAGAGTGCTGGCACGAAGGGGGGCCGGATGGTGCGGGCAAGCAGGGCCTCCCAGTCAGTGGTCTAGGGGTAAAGGCAGAGGTGCCTGAGACTGCAGGAACAGCAGTCCCCCAGTGTCACACAGTGCTGCCCACCTTGCTAGGTGCTGGGGACCAGGGCTACCCCAGCCACTCACCTTGAAGAATGGCTGGACCTTGATCTCCTCAGCATCCTGCTCACCTGCCCCCAGGCGCTTCTCTGGGCACTTATGGAGGAGCTGGGCAAAAGGTCAGGAACCCACATAGGGCATCCAGCCCCAGACACTGCCTGCGCCCCAGGGACCCCAAGCACAGGCGGCAGAGGCACACCCAACCCCTGAAACACTCACCTTCTGAATGAGCTCAAGCCCCTGCACGGACAGAAAGTGGGGGTATGGGGCATCCATGTTGACGATGCAGTCAAACACCTCCTCCTCAGTGTCCCCTGGGAAGGGGCACTGTAGAAATAGGGGCTTAGCAGGCAGGGTGCCTAGACCACCCCCACCCCACCTCCCAAGCCCTGGCAGCCCACTCCAGCACGCACCTCGCCCACCAGCATCTCATAGAGCAGCACACCCAGCCCCCACCAGTCCACAGCCCGCGTGTATGCCTCCTGGGTCAACACCTCTGGAGCAAGGAACTCTGGGGTGCCACAGAAGGTGCTTGTCCGGTCCCCAAAGCCAATCCCTGCAAATCAACACACATACCAATGCAGTGTGTCCCATTCAACCTCTGCAAATGAAAGAACCAATAGCCAACCAGGAGGATTCTAGCAATCCAACCCCGTCCAGCCCTTCCTGGTACCTGAAGAGCTGGAAATGATTACAATGCCATGTGACTGCATGAGGAGGCAGAGTCTCAGCCACACTCACATGGTCCCACAGGGGGCAGGACCAATTCCTAGACCTGACCAGAGGCTTTCCCTCTGGCCAATTGTAGGCTAGGACTCTTTGAGAGCCTCTAGGGTCAGGAAGGAGAGGCCAGTGTGGCCAGCTGTCCCCTAGAACAAGGGCTGGGGTGTGAGGGTACCAGGGCATCCACAGTTGGGCAGAAGATTTCCTGGAAGATTCCACCTGCCCACTACCCTGCCAGTCTTGGTTGGGTAGGTGTTGCTGAAGGATATGATCCTGACAGGTGACCCCCACCTTCCTTGCATAGCCCAAAATCTGCAATCTTCAGGAATCCCTGGGCATCTAGCAGAAGATTATCCAACTTCAGGTCCCTGAGTGAGAGGAGAGTGCATCAAAGAGGCTGAGAAGGGCTAAGACCCAGGGAACCGCCACTGCCCCCAGAGCAGCCCGGGAAGAGGGTAGCATCGCCCCTCTCCCACCCCACCTTCCCCATGGACCCCTGGGCCAAAAGCTACCTATAAATGATCTTCTTCTCGTGTAAGAACTGGAGCCCCAGGACCACACAGGCCAGGTAGAAGCTGTAGGGGTGGCATGTAGGTAAATTCAGGCCCAGTACAGGCATAAGGAAGACACGGCCTGGAGACACCTGGATGTCCTGGCCAGAGTGACATGTGGGCAAGAGACTGTAACAAACATTATGCAGGGCTGGGGGACTCATCCAGTCAACAGTCCAAGGTTATCCTAAGATTGCTCCTGGGTCCTTACCCACCATCCTGCACCCCTTCCTCCCCTAGCATCCTCCCAGCACCCTGCGGCTGACATTCATTCTGCCTATTTTGCAGATAAGGATCTAAGACTCCATGTAAGTAACCTGACTAGGGTCACACAGTCAAAGGTAGGGATGGGCTCAGTGGCTAGGGCGCTGGCCACATACACCAGGGCTGGTGGGTTCAAACAATGCTAAAAACAATGACAACTACAACCAAAAAATAGCCGGGTATTATGGCAGGTGCCTGTAGTCCCAGCTACTTGGGAGGCTGAGGCAAGGGAATTGCTTAAGCCCAAGAGTTTGAGGTTGCTGTGAGCTGTGACACCACAACACGCTACAAGGGCGACATAGTGAGACTCTGTCTCAAAAAACAAAAAACAGTCAGAGGGACTTGACCTAACAAGTGCAATCAGTGTAACTCGGTTTCTTGTACCCTCAATGAATCCCCAACAATAAATTTAAAATAAAATAAAATCAGCTTAGTGCCCATAGCTCAGCAGCTAGGGTACCAGACACATACACAAGAGCTGGTAGGTTCGAATCCAGCCCTGGCCTGCCAAACAACCATAACCAAAAAATAGCCGGGCGTGGTGGTGGGTGCCTATAGTTCCAGCTACTTGGGAGGCTGAGACAAGAGAATTGCTTAAACCCAAGAGTTTGAGGTTGCTGTGAGCTGTGATTCTATGGCACTCTACTAAGGGTGACATAGTGAGACTCTGTCTCAAAAAAAAAGAAAAAAAAAGTAGGGATGATGCCAGTTTAGGTCTAACTCTAAAGCCCCCCAGAGAGAAACAATAACTCCAGGAGGCCCTGTGGAGACAGTTTATAAATGCTCCTCTGTCTATGCACCAACTATGGGAAATGGTTATTATAACGCACAGCCTCATAAACAGAGGCCCAGGGCACAAATGCTGTCAGGCTGACGAAGATGAGAACCAAGGTCTCTCTGACTGTAACTCCTCTGCTGACGAGCACCCTGGAGGATGCAGGATGAAGGGAACCAGGGGAAGTTTGCTGGAAGAGGCGGGCAGGGGAATGGGAACCCACCAGGCCTGGGGCTCAGGGAAGACGTCTTCATGGATCTGCATCATGAGGTCACCACCAGGCACAAACTCAGTCACAAAGCAGGCATGGCTAGGGGTCTGGAAGCAGGCGAGAAGGGAGAGCAGGAAGGGATGCCCCGTGCGGCCCACAGTCTCCAGGATCCGCTTCTCGCAGTACAGGCTGCAGGGGAGGGTGGGGGTCTTGGAGGGAAGGAAACCCTCCCCTAGCTGTGCCCTGCTCAGTTGGGCCCTCAAAGTGTTCAGTGGGTAGAGCTAGTTTCTATATATCAAGGGCTCATGTGGGTCATTGAACCTATAACAACCACTAATCCCCCCATTTTACAGAAGAACAAACTGAGGTACAGAGAGAAGAGGGAACCTGTCCAAGGGCACATAGTTAGCTGTAAGCATCAACAAGGGAATGCAGCAGGCCTGGCTGGCCCCACAGGGTCACCTCTCCAAAGCCCTAGGGGCCTTCATCTGCCTTCTGGGTGATCAAACCCCAGGCTAGCCATCTGAGGCAACTTCCAGGGTCAAGGGCCAAGAGCCCAGGTGCCTGGAGCTCCCGAGCCCCATTACACACCTCTCTACCTCATCCCGGCTGAGAACCTCCTGTTTCTTCAGTGCTTTGATGGCGTAGTATTTCCCTGTCCCCTTGAACTGGACCAGGAGGACCTGGGTATCAGGGAGAGGGTGGCTCTAGGTGGTCCACACAGGGGCCTTAACTTCTCCACCTGCACAGATTAACCAGTGTCCTCCTAGTTAATGTGCTGGGGCTCCCCACCCCACCACACACTCCTCGGTCCACTACCTTCCCAAAGTGTCCCCGGCCAAGCACAGCCACGCAGCGGAAGTCTTGAAGTTGAGGTGGTTTCCTGCAAGAGAGAGGGCACAGGAAGCCCCCAGGACAAGGGCTGGGTCTCCGCCCAGAGCCATTCCACGCCCTCCATTCCCAGTCTCAGGCTGTCCCCACCTATGGGGCTGGAGGAAGGGGCTGGAGGAAGAGCCTGCAGTGAGCACTCCTAGACCAGTGGACCCCTGGGGTCTGACACACCACACTGGGCTGGGTAATGTGGGTACAGCAAGTAAGACCCTGGGAGCCAGCACACACACAAGGAGCCGCAGAGCAGTGCAAGGATGGGGACACCAACACTCAGGTAAGCAGATGAAAGTCTCAAATACGCTGCACACTGGGCAGGGTACCTGCTAGGGGAGACTGGTGGAGATGGTCCAAGTACAGTCCTGGGCTCCATGTGGGGGCGTTTGGTGCGCTGTGAGGGCAGAGGGGCTTAGGGCAGGGCTAGGTGGCCTCCCCTCTTTCCTTACAGGCTTGCCAGCCCCTCCTGGGAAGTCCCACCGCCCCTCACCGGGGTCTCCTCAGGGGTGGACTCCTGGGGCAGGTAGAGGCGAGGGGGCTTGGGTGGGGGCTTCATCTCCTCTGCCAAGAGGATCTTCTTGGGCAGCAAATTACTGTGGGGAGGAAGCAGACATATGGCCCAGCAGAGGCAGATGGGACAGCTGGAGGGACAGACACACAGCTGTGGGAGACAGACAGACAGATACCTACTGAACCTGGAGAAGCATGCAGGCTGGGCGAGGCACCTCCTCACCTGGGGGAAGCAGGTTTGGATGTCCCCTGAGGTGTGATCGGGATCTGAGGACACCCTTTGGGGGGACTGATTGTGCTTGGGGAGCTGCAAGGGGGCAGCAGGCTCATGACCAAGCGCCCCCAGGCCGCCATGCTGAGGTTCATCTGGGAAGCCCTCAGGAAGTCCTTGCCTGGGAGCAAAGGGGGACCTCAGTCCAGCCCCCTGGGGGCCAAGCCCTGCTCCCTGCCCACAGAGCCCCACATCCTCCATACCTCTGCGTTTAGAGAAAATGCGCTTCTGCCTCTGTAGCCGGGGCCGCCTCTCAATAACAGGATCACAGAAGGTCACCTGCAGGAACAGGATTGAAGACTGGTCCCCTCCCACCCCATCTGCCATGGCATCTCCTCTGCCCCAAGAGCTCCCAGGGTCAACATATGCAGGAACCAGAGAAATGGCTTCCATATCCTCACTGGTACTAGAGGAAAAACTGAGGCCCAGAGAAGAGAAGCACTTGTTTGTACAGGGTCACACCCGAAGCAGGGCACAGTTAGGAAGGACACAGGCCTACAGATGTGGCCCCCTAAGGGCGAGAGCTCTGGGAGTCCTTATTCCTAGAAACCACCCCTCTCTGGTCCACAATCTATACAAGGCAGACCAGTCTCAAAGCCTTTGAGACTGACCCACCTTATATAGATACCCAGGGGCCCAGCAGGTCAGAAGACAGGAGCAGTGAGCACCTGGGTGAAGAGACGCCCCTGTGGCACCAGGCTGAGGGACAGTTGGTGACAGGCATTGTCTAGGAAGTCCTCAAGCCTCAGGAAGGCCACACCACACAGCTGCCGCCAGTCCCGCCAGCGCACCCCGATCTCTAGCTCGCGGGCCTACACAAGGGAGGCCAGGCTCATGACCAAGCCCTGACCTGGGCAGCTCCACCAAATCCCAAGGTCACCCCGAGTACACAAAGGCCAGCCTTACTCGCTCCAGTGTGATGACAAAGGTCTGACCCCAGGCTTGCTCGCCCATCTGCCCCCAGCCTGTTTGGCCCACAATGCGGTTGTCCACCTTCAGCACAGCCAGCACCTCACCTGCAGGGCCGGCGCTAGGGATCAGAACAGGCCTAGGGCAGAAGTCCCCTGTACCCCACAACAGCTCCTTCCCCACTCACGGGCCAGCTCGCCTCCGCCACGCTGTTGCTTGGCCCTGGTACGAAGCCAGCCCTCAGAAGGGCTGCAGGCCAGAGCAGCCACCGGAGAACGTCCAGGCACAGCTGTCAGTAGCTGCTCACAGCCCTGGAGGTGAACCTGCAGGGTCCCTGTGGCAGAGTGAGGGTAGGGGGCATTGTCAGATGCCATCTTCCCCCTGCCACCACCAATGTGCCCTGACACCCTACAAAGGCTACTCTCTCCAGAAGTGGCCGAATCCAGACCCTACCCACATTAAGCCATGGAAGCCCCTAACATCCTCAGGAGAACAAGTGGTCCTGCCCTCCACATGTGAGGGCAGCAAGGATAAGAGTTTGGGGTAGCAAACAGGAAGCCTGGCTTCCGGTGCTATCCCACCTGCTGCCTGGGCCTCAGTGTCTCTATCTAAGCAATGAAGGTTAAGCCCCAACTCTGCCTCCTCCCTCAATAATCAAGAAACACATTTTGCCAACTGAGTAAGTTCATGCTTAGGCTCATTAGAGTTTTGACTCTGAAAAGGTAGAGGAAGTGGTGGGAATCTAAAAGCTTTTGAGGATATAAAGAGGGCCCAAGAGCACTGTTTAGAGAGTCCAGGCCTGGGGGTTACATTCAGAGAGACCTTATAAACAAAGGCAAGTGTTCAGGGTGGGAAGATCTTGGAAAGACTAACTCAAGGAACTGGGGCATTTAGCCAGGAGCTAGGATAAGGTGGACATAAGTAGGTGAATTCCTTTTAACAAGCTGTTCCCTCTGCCTTCCCCAAATTGTCTACCTGGCCATTTAAGTACTCCTTTAAGTTCTTCAAGGGCAGCTCAGATACCACTTCCTTTATTCATTGATTTCTCAAGGCCAGGCAAAGGGATCCAATCCAGCCCCTGCACTTCCTCTTCTCAGCCCTATGACAGTGGAATGGGACCCATCTGCCCTGCACCAGAGCCCTGTGCAGGCAGCCGCTGGCTCCTCCAGCTCACGCCATAGCTCAGGTGGGAATGGGGCTTCAAAGTCCATGCTCTCTGATTATGTGTTTTTTGTTTTTTTTAGACAGAGTCTCACTATGTCACCCTCAGTAGAGTGTCATGGCATCACAGATCACAGCAACCTCAAACTCTTGGGCTTAGGCTTGAGGCCTGTAGCTCAAGCGGCTAAGGCATCAGCTACATATACCAGTTGGCAGGTTCATATCCAGCCTGGGCTTGCCAAAGAACAATGACGACTACAACCAAAAAATAGCCAGGCATTATGGTGGGCGCCTGTAGTCACAGCTACTGGGAGACAGAGGCAAGACTGCAGGGGTCCTCAAACTTTTTAAACTGGGGGCCAGTTCACTGTCCCTTAGACTATTGGAGGGCTGGACTGCGGGCCCTGGGACAAGTTGCCTGCTAAGCAGGACAGGCAGCGGTGGCAAAAACACCCGGAGGGCCAGATAAATGTCCTCAGTGGGCTGCATGTGGTCCATGGGCCATAGTTTGAAGACACCTGGGCAGCTCGGCGCCTGTGGCTCAAGCGGCTAAGGCGCCAGCCACATACACCTAAGGTGGCGGGTT